ACGGAGGGATGAGGCGGGGGTGGCAGGGGTGGCGGGGGCTGGGACTGCACCTTCACGGAAGGGAGTAGAGGTGTGGGGGGCTGCACCTTCTGCAGCTGCTGCAGGTAGAGCTGCATCTGCATGGAGGTGAGGGGCGGGGTGGGTGGCTCCTCTTCCTCCTGCAGCAGCACTTGGGGTGGCTGGGCCATGGGGGGCTGTGGGAGCAGGGGCGGTTGGGCCAGAGCAGGCGACACAGCAGGGGGCCGGGCAGGCTTGGGGGGCAGGGCGGCAGCTCGGTTGCTGGGCCTCGATGGCTGCTGGGGCAGCGCGTTGTGCAAAGCTGGAAGGACACAACAGTGTGGCAGTGAGGCTCCCGTGGTCCTCAGCCTGGCCTTTCTGCTCCATCCTGACCTTCTACCCCTCTGACAAGCACTCTCCCCACCCTCCTCAGGTTCTCACCATCTCCAGAACAAAGCCCTCACCAGTCCTGTCCTGGCAGGTGGCCTGTGCCTCCCTCCCTTCCTCCAGCTAGTCCCTGTCTTCAAGTCTCAAAGCAGGTATGTCCTGAATGCCGCCATCTGACCCTCCTATCTGGGATGAGTGTGTGTCCCCCCATTTGTAACAGAGTTACAGAGGGGTCACATCTTTTTTCACCTGACAATGCCTGACCCAGCACAACTGACTCATTATCTTCTGTATCAAAGCACTAACTTTCTGCAAAGGCTATCCTGGGGTATCTTGTATAATTTCCACAATGGTCCTGAGAAGCTGCTGACATCCCCTTAGAGACAATGAAGCTGAGATGGGTTCCGAAGTTTGCCCCGAGTGCCCAGCGGCAGAATGGTGAGACCAGGGTGGGAATGGGCCTCCCTGAACCTGGGCGGCTATGGCCACAGCTCACCTGGAGGAGAGACCACTGAGTGCTGGTTGAGATGAGGCGGAGTGCTGTGCTCGGGTGGCTGGGGGAGGTGAGGGGGCAGCTCGGGCTGCGGCAGGTGCAGGATGGGTTGGGTGAAGTGGCCGATGGGGTCGAAGACGCTGCCTGGGAGCTGGGGCTCCAGGACGGGCACCTGGGCGGCGATGAAGGGCGGGGGCGAGGACTTTCATCGTGGGGGCAGTCTGCTGTGGCATGGAGGGCGGGGGTGGTGGGGGTGGCTGTTGCTGCTGCTGCGAAGGTGGGGGTGGCGGGGGCTGCTGGGGAGGTGGCGGGGGCTGCTGGGGCCCAGGCCCGGGGCTGCTGCAGCTGCTGGTGATGGTGGTGATGATGCTGCAGACAGACAGACAGAGGCTGATGTCAGGCAGGCAGAAACCCCCGGGCCAGCCCCAGGGTCCCCCCAGGGCCCAGAGAGGCAGGTGACCACCACTTCCCTAAGGGAAGACACCTCTATGATCACGTACCTTCTTCTGCTCCCTCCCAGGGTGCCCCTTCTTTTTTGACTTCGGAGCCATCTCTGTGAAGGAAAAGAGAAGGTAGTGAGGTCTAGGGGAGAAGACCAGGCTGCCTTGGATGCAGAACCAGGAGAAAACAGGGTGAGTTCAGAAGGACGAGTGACGGTGAGACAGGGTGGCTGGATTGTCTGGTATGAGAGTCCGTTATGGGAAAAAGACAATGTGGAGTGTCACCTACCCATTTGTCTGCCCCTTTTCTTAGCTGGGACCATGCCCGAAAGGCCTCCCTGCCCAACTCCTGACCCCTAACTCCATTAAAGAACAACACCCGGGAACTGGGGGTTGAGCTATGCAGACCTCTTGCCCAACATCTCCCCCTACTTTCTGGTGACAGTCACTAAGACAATCTGAGTGTCTGCACCCTAACCCATTGTCTTGGAACAACGATGGTGTTTGAAATGATCATAACCATTTGACAGATGAGCAGTGAGGCTCAGAAGTCAAGGGACTTGCCCTGGAACACACAGCTGTACAGGAGCCACACAGCTGCCTCCAACAAATGAGGTGCACTCCTTCCCATCCCCCCAGGAGGAGGCAAATAGACTGAGTTAGGGTGAGAGATGTGGTGCAGGCTGGGGCCAAAGTCTGGCCACAGAGCCATGGGACAGGTGAGGAGAGGGTGGACACGTGGGAAGGCCACAGTGTGAGTACTTCAGGGGAGGGAGGGAGGGAAGGCAGGACAGCCAGCGAACCTCCCAGGGACCACCAGGAGCACACAGGGAGATGCTCAACGCCACGGCCAGCTTCTCCTTCCTCTCGGGAGAGTGGCCTCAGAAAAGCTGTTGGTACGCAGTGGACGTGCTGCAGGGAGAAGTCAGTATGTGCCCTGGTTCCTCAAAGGCCAACAGCTTGTTGCCGCCACTGTATGGACACATCTGTGAGGAGTGAGCTAAGAGCCAGCATGCTCCCCCCACCCACTCTAAGGAACTAGTCAGCTGAATGCCCCTCCCCAAACTCCACTGGTATACAAACCCCAGAGAGAGAGAGAGGGAGAGAGGCCAGGCCGGTGCTCATGGGCTGGGAAATGATGAAGTTGCTAATCACCAGGTGGCAAATTGGAACCTACAGCGCCTTTTGGACTCATGTCTCCTCTGCCTTGCATCCCCTGGCTCCCTGCCAGGATGCTGGATCTTGCTGCTACGGTCAGAAGACATAGGCTTTGTCCAAAGCAGGGCTAACTCTCCTCATAGCTGGTTTCACGAAGGGCCACGCTAAGGTTCTGTGAGGTGCATAGCCTCAGGGTGCCATGTGCCACCCAAAGGGATAAGCCATCTGATGCCTTGCAAGAGTTCACCACTCCATGCGAGAGACAAGACAGTGACACAGACCTCGGCAGCTAGACACACATCCTCATACAAATGGCAGCAATTGGGACACCTGGGACATGAGAATTGTAGGCCCAGCCCCAAACTGGGACACTAGAAATTCCAGGAGACAGGGCTCAGGACTCTGGGTCACAACAGAACACCCGGGGAAAGGATACTATTGTGGTTGAGACATACAAAGGGACAGTTTAGGCGACTGCAGGATCAAGGCCATAGGTCCTGGCAGCTACATGGTAGGGGGTGGGGGAAGCATTGTACTGAAGATGCTAGGGCCCAGACCAAAGGGACCCTGCACGTGCTGGGGGAAAGCTCAGTGCTGAGTGGCCACCAAAGTGGAAGAGGCTTGGGTGTTCCTCCCAGACAGGATCCTCTCCCAGCATCAATTCCATGAACAGAAACTGCATGTCGAGGGAGGCTGGGGACAGTTGTTCATACACTGGGCATGCTTCTGGAGAGCCTGGTGTGTGTGTGTGTAATTGGGGGAAGAGGGCAGTGGGTAAATCCTGACCAGAAGACACTGTGTCATGGGAAGAGGGTTGGGTTGGCCTGTCATCTCGTGCACTTGGGGAAGCACTGTTTTTGCCACCGTACAAGAGGGATGGTGGCTCGGAGGGGGAGAGAGGCCCATATGAGAACTCGTGGGGGTTCCAGGGAACAAGTCTTGGCTGCCTTGGAAAGGTCACTGGGAGGACTCCAGGGCTCCGTGGCAGTGCCGGGTAGGATAGCCTTAGAGTGGAAGAGAGGCTGGAGGCACAAAGCACACCCTCAGGACCAGAGGACTAACAGAACCGGCGGTGGGGACCAAGGGTGCGGGAGCCTGTTTGGGAGAGTGCATCTGGCTCATGTGGCCCGAGCCTCATGTTGGAGTGACTGGTAGGAAGACAAAACAGAGGTGCACGGCTTCACGACACACCAGCCCCAAGACACCCCCACACAAAACTCTCTAGAAAGGGTTACATGAAGATGGCCTCAAGTACTGTGTGATCTTTATTCCATGAAAATCTTGAACTGAACACAATGTCATCTTTACATAGGATGGTAATTGTACAAAGAATTAAAACGTTTTTGTAAAATCTGATTAAAACACTGATTCCTCCTCCCACCCTCCCCACCCCACCCCCCAAATCAAGGGAAAGAGACAGGATGGAGGGTAAGGGCAGGGAAAAGGTAAGGAACCCTAAACTGAACTAAATAGAGTCTTGGCACCAGTGGACACCTGGGCTCCCACTCCTCAGCAAGTCCTCAGGACCCGAAGCCAGCTGGTGAGTTGAGGCCTGGCTGGCACCTCCCACTGCCTGAGCACAGGGTCTTCAGTAAGGAGTGGGCTCTGCTCTGTGGCTGGGGCACTGGGCACAGGTGAGAGTTCGAGTCTAAAGACCATGTTCTCTGCCAGATGAAAACCCATGGGCGAGGACAGGATCCCTGAACAGAGAGGGTGCAAGGACCCTGTAATCTGCGACTACAGCCCATGTACAAGTGTGTGGGAAGGGTGGGGTGGCACACAGGCTGACACTGTGGGAATCCAGGCTTCCATTTGTTCTAAGAATCTTCCCAGAAAGACAATGCCAGCCACTTTCCAACTGTCCTTTGGGAATCTCTGGGCATAAAGACCCCTGGCCTCAGCTAGGCCGAGCTGCACTGGAAACACATCAGGCACAGGCCAAAGGGCAACTCAAAATAGTCTGTTTGGCAAATAGTGCTTGACTGGAAGTTGACTGGCCAGAGGACCAGAGAGCAGCCTGGAACTCCCAGCATCACAGCAAGACCCTAGAGGCTGGGTGTGGGGGTGGGAGGCTAGAGCTAGAACCCAAGGCCAAGGCCAATCTGAGGCAGCTACAGCCGCTTGGGCCTGCGGATAGTGAACTGCACCCCTTCAAGCCTGCTCTAGTTCCAGAAGGCTGGCTCCAAGATGCCAGCAGATGGCAAGGTCTTGAAGTATGCACAAACTATATTAAAAAAAAAAATAAAAAATCTCCCTTAAGGCTGATGCTGTTCCTTAGGGAACTTTTCACATCAGGCAGTTTTCTGCTAAGATGCTGGATTCATGACCAAAAAAGGGCCAATATTTATTTTTAGAGCAAAAAAGCCCATTCAGTGCCTCTCAGAGGGCTTATATGATATGGCCACCCTGGCCTGCCAAACTCCCAGCAGATGCCATTATTTCAGGGGCCTAAAAAACAGGAGGGTGCTCGCACTGGCCATGTCCCTCAGAGATGTGTAGGGAGCTGGCTCTAAGGGCTTTGATGCCCTTACCACTGACCAGTGCCCTGGATTTTTGAGAACCTTTTCTCACCTACTAGCCCAGACCCTGACACCACGGGGGCAGAGATGATGGGCTCCAGGGGCCAGGTCACAGCCACCTCCCCAAATGCCCTCACCAGTGGCCAGCCCCACTGCAGCCTGCTCCTATTCACCTGGGAAGGACAAAAGGCAGCCTAGGAGGGCCTTTCCCTATGCAACTTTAGGAGAAGAGGCTAAAGAAATTGGAAAAATGCCCAATAGGTAACCACGGGAACAACAAAAATGCAAGGACTCCAGGGGCTGTAAGTCAGCTGTGGCTGGTGATAGCCTTCGGCTGATGGAGCTGCATGGGCCACTAAAAAGAAGGCGTGCTGAGGGACAGCCCCCATTCCTCACTTGGGAAAGCTCTAGATGTTAGTGTGTTCTTTCTTCCATAGGGTGAATGAGATCTCCTCTGGGCTACATGTCACTGCCAGGTCCAGGAGGGAAGTGGTTAGGATCCAGAGTCCCAGAAAGAGACAGAGGGATGAAGAGAGAGAAAACATACTTGTGATGGGGCCTTGCACATGGAGCAGCACCACACGCATGCGTGTGCAGCGAGATTGTCATCACTCTGGGAGATGCCACCCACCCAGAGGAGCCCAGACGACCAAGGAGGCTGGGCGGGACAGCCAGGCAGTCTGTACACAGGAGGCCCGGGCGGCCAGCCAGGCCAGGCAGCCTTCCCGGAGGCGGGACTAGGCGTGTGCTGCTCTGATGGACATGACTAATGCACCCTGGGGACAGGCCCAGGGCTCTGAGGAATTCCATAACTTGATGGAGTCCTGTCCCTTTCACAGAAGAAAATGGACTTAAGCTAGAGCTTGCTGGGAAGGAATCTGGAACTGAAGACCGTTTTATTAAGAGTCCGTGTCCAATGATTAGGCAGGACCTACATAGAGGGAGAGAGAAACCAGTGTGAGAGAAATGGTGTGGAATGTACCGTTCCAAGTCACAAGAACAGAAGAACTGCAGACCGAGCCAGCCTCCTGTGCCCTGCTCGCTGACAGGACACCAGAGAACGGCGCCGGAGACTAGAAGCCCTGCCCCAGCCTGGCCAGCTGAGAGCAGGGACAGACCCACTTTGCCATTACAAGGGTCATGGACATCTCCAAAACCACCCATGCCCATTTATGCTAAAACTGCTTCCAGGATTGGGTCCCATGTACACCTGAGTGAACGATAGCATCTACTTTACCAGTCTTTTAACGTGAGAGGCCTCGGCCTATCCCACTTGCCTGATCTACCAGCCTGGTATTCAATGCCATCAGGCCCCACTAACTCTGAGCCTATCCCCCTGGGCTGCTTTGCTGTCCATCTCGGAAGGTGATTTGGCCCTACCTCAGGACTTTGGTAGAGGGAAGAAAAGACAGGGGCTCTCGGGTGTAGCATCTACAACTAACATCTCATTTCTGCATTCCTACAAACCCCAAGAAACAAAAAATAAACTATAAAAAGAGAAATCAGTTACAGACACTGTTAAGGGGGGCGGGGTGTAGAATAAAATAAAAACAGGTCAAGGAGGAAAATCGTCCTTTTTTTTTCTGGGGCATGGAATTTAGCTCCCTTGACCAGGCAGAAGCATAGGGTCATTCCCACCCACACAGCAGAGTAGATGTCTCTGCCAGAGTCCCGGATGCACGGACACTGACTGCATTCCCATGGCCTCCCAGTGCACGCATGGGAAAAACCCGCCCACTGGCTCAGCCTCTCACTCAGGGCACATTCCACAAGGCTAGCCCCACCCCAGAATCCCGCCAGCTGCATGTGGGTGTGTGAGGGGTCACCTGGCAGTGTGGGCAGACTGGCTACAGCCCAGTCCTCCAGGTCTCTGCCTACTCCCCCATCCCCACCAGGGGCCTCTCCACTTCCCTGAGAGCAAGCAGCACACCCTTGGAGCGGGCAACAGTAGATCCCAAGAGCGGACTGGGACCAAGGCCCTCAGAGACTCTGTGTGTCGGAAGCTGAGGCTGGTTGTCTGGGAAGAATGCCCCATGGCCTCTGCCTGCACTTTCCAGCTCAAATCTTTCCAAAACATAAAGCATTCCTTTCCCCCTGGAGCTATTAAAAAACACCCACATGCTTCAATCCTGGGAAAAGGAAACGAGGAGACTAAAATAGCTGGAGTGTGCTCCAGCTGCAACTAGAAGACCAGGCCAAGCCCAAAAGAAATACCCCACAACTCTGAACCCAGGTCCCAGCCCTGGTAGCTGATGCCAAGGGTTGCTCCTAAGAGGGACACAAGTTGTGTGTCTACCCCCACCCAAAAAGAACCAGACATCAGCAATATGATGGAGGGAAACAGGATGAAGTATCCTAGAACATCCCTGGCCCCATGAGCGTGGTAGACAGGATCCTAGCACTGGTGACAGGGAAGCCACAGCTCTGCTATAGCCACCTGGGACAGCAGTGGAAAGGGGGAACCGGGGCACCCTTAGCCTGCCCAGATAAGGTCTACAGATGCCTTAGGGGCAGTGGGATGCTAGCACTTGTACTCACTCTGTCTTCCCAACACCGAACTCCCAAGCAGATCCAGACGTTAAGCTAGAATTGTTTTTAACAAAAGACCATAACCTAAGTAGAGCTGGGCTCAGAAGATGTGGTGGAAGAGGCTAAAAGCACTGTGTGCTGCTGAGTGGGAGGACATGTGGCAGCATGGGACTGGGCTGGGAAAGCTATGCCTGCCCTCCTCCCCCTATTCTGTGAGCACACCGCCTCCTTGAACTGCAACATGACCCCGAGGACCAGTCCCATGCCCTGATCTGTCCTCAGCATCCTTGTCTGTGAACAGCAGCCAGAGGAGGGGTCCCCGAGTTAGTGCCTCTGCTCAGTTTCTTTTGGTGACTCATGTCTCGGGGCTGTATCAGCAGAACTGACTTACTTATTAATACAAGTGACAAAATATAGGCCTTTTCAGGAATTTCAGCTCCAATATAAATGGAAACAAGAGGGAAAAACAATTTAAGCTCCCAAAGGCCAAGTAAAATACCTCTAATATGCCTGCCCCGGCAGAACCACCTGTAACTGGTTGCAGAAACCAGGGCTGTCCAGCTCCATGGACCCATCATGAGCAACTGCTGGAAGAGCTACCTGGGAAGCGAGTACAATTTCCTGTGAGGGATGGGTGCAATGGTTGTATTCCGTGGTGTAGGGTCACAGGCTCCCACCTTGGGACCTGGAGCATCTGAGCGACAGGAACACAAACTCACAGGATGGGTCCTTCCTGAGAGCAGAAGCCCCTACTGGCCCACAACAGAGCTCTCCAGTACAAACGTATGGGAAAGGAAAGCCAGGACCATGAAGGCAAAATGAAGACTCACAAACCCAAGGTGGGGAGGGTGCATGGGAAGAGGGATAAGCTGGAGTCAGGCTGGTTAACCAGAGCCCAAGTGCCTGCAGGCTGGCAGCTCGGAGACTGTAAATCTCATCCTCCTTCCCGCCAAGACAGCTGTTCCCAGGATTCTCAGATTACTTGTTGCACAATCTTTCCACTTTCTTTAAAGGAGGGAAAAATGTGAAAAAAAAGAAAGAAAGAAAAACATGTTGGCAACAGGAGAGAGCTATTGGAAATGCCGTCATGGTTGCCCCACAAAGACGGCAGCAGGACGCTCGGGAGCCTTGGAGCGGTCCTGCTAAGCTTGGGGGGCAGGGGCAAAGGCCAGTCATAGCCCCCTAAGGTGCCACATCAGCCAAAGCAGTTCACACTCAGCCAAGATGTGCTGGTTTAATGACCAGGCCCCAAGCCAATTTCAGCCTTTAGTGCTTTCTTTTGACTACTTGAATCCTTAGGAGAAAGGATGAGAAACCCCTAAAAGTTGCAGCCTGCTAGGAACCCCAGAGTGAAGGCAAACCCTAGGTGTGACTGGCACCCAAAGTGAGAAGTCAGCTGCTACCAGGAATGCTAATTGGGCCCAGGAATACAGCAATTCACCCTGCAGAGGGCAGCAGCCTGGCCAGGCAGCCCTTTCTGGGCAGGCATGGGCTGTGGGCGCCCCCTGCTGGTAAACGGATAAAAATGGAATGGGGGGGGTGATGGTTAGAAAAAAAATAAAGAATGGTGACAAAGGTGTCCAGCAAACTGTACACATTAGCCTCTGCATACAATAATACCTCAATAAATACAGAACATGGCCTAATGAATTCCATCTCATTTGGGCCCAATGAACATGAGGTAATTCGCATTTGGAGCCTCAGGAAAGCCCTCAGCACCCTCTTAATTTCCCCGCGGGTGAGCCCGCACTCACTTGGAAAGTCTGGTGCCCTTACTGTAATAGGGAAGAAGGACAGTGACAAGGCCCAGAGGCCCCTGGTCCCTAGCTTCCCCTGACAGAAACAGGCTGAGCCCACGCAAGGAACCTGTGCGTGCAACGCCTCAGAGCAGCATCACTCTTCCCAGGTGCTGTAAATGATCCTCAAACCTCCTTGGTAAAATAAGGTCACATTTATTTATATGAACTGATTAAGTGGAGCTTACGGTTTATTTCCAGTTAGAATAAAATACCAGACAGGACAGGTCCACCAAAGAAAATGCTTTGTTGTCCAAACACACGTTCCCCACTGTGGACATGCACACTGCGGCTTGCCTGGTGGGACATGCCGAGGCCCCCAGGACCAGCTCTCAAGCAGTCTGTAGATTGTCTGCTCAGCAGTAGCCACCCCGTGGAAACAGCTGGCTCCATCTCACAGCACAGGGTGGTTGCCAGGCTTCTTCCTTAGCCTCTCTGAGTAAGTCTGAGCTTCTGCTCCCCTGAGTATCATCAGGAAAGCACACAGCTGGTAGAAGGCCTCTCTCCCCACATTGTGCAGCTCCCAGCATCCCCACCTGCCCCACCTCCCACGCTGAAACTGTTGCTGAAACTGTTGCTCAGGTTGGGCACATGTGCAGGCCCGTGGAGCATAAAGAGGCACAGGACTCCCATGTCCAAGTGTGTGCAGTTAGGAGCCACCAACGTGGCAGTGAGCACACTCTAAGGAGGATGGCAGTGCCCCGAGTCTGGGGACAGCAGGGCTGACAGTAGACTGCTCCACACCTGCTGAATGAAGCACATTACCTGGGGTGGCCACACTGCATGTGACTGTGATGCAGGAAGACTGTGGAGCTGCGTAGGGTCACACTAGGATCAATGCCAACACCTGGGCCCCAACACCCAATATCCTCACCAGCTTTCCCCCACCCCAGTTCTGCAGTGTCAATACCTTCAGCCACTTGTGTCCTCCTAGCCCAGGCCATGAGGGAGAAAACAGGGTGCCAGGCTACTCACCACCCCAGTTACAGTTAAAATAGTGACCAGGTAATTCTTATGACCGTCACATAGGACAAACGGTGCTGAACACAGGTGGGAGTGGGACAAGATGCTGAGTAGGACCCTAACCTGTTTCGGAGTCTTCACTGTCAGAGGAGCTGGACTCGCTGGTGCTCTCAGACTCAGAGGACGAGAAGCCCTTCATCTTGGAGGAGCCAGCAATCACATCCACTTTCTCGGCTGCAGTAAAACAATATGAACTGCGTCAGGCAAGGCCCAACCCTGGGGCTGCTCTTAACCCACACGTACTCCACTGCCTGGAGGAAGAGCCAGGGGGCAGTCTGTGCCCCACAAGCCAGAAGGCTGCTCCTGACAGCATCCCAGCCCCCAACCAGCCCCCTGTTCCCCAGTGATAAGATGCTAGCCTACTGCCTGCTGGCCAAAAACTCAGTTTATACCAGAATTTCAAGAAGCTTGCCCCGCCCCTGACCAATCAATCTCTCAGAATCGCCTTTGCAGCGTTCATCAGGATTAAGAAACAGGGAGGAGGAAATTCCCTATGAGGAGGACTGTCAGGCTAAGGCTCCCTCAGTAACTTTCTTGGCTGTGAGTGAAGAGGCCCAAGGATTCCTGGAGTCAGCCTGGGCTGGGATGAAGGCTGCATACAATGCCCTGCTGTGGATCCTAAGTCCTACTGGTCTTAAGACAAAAGCGGAGCCAAGACAGACACTTGTAACAGGAAAGGGCTGCCTGGAAGACTCATAGAGGGGGCCATGCTGAGCTCGAGAAGAATGGCAGGCAGGCACAAAGCTGCCCTAAAGACTCTCCCAGCCTCAACCCTCAGAGGCACCAAAAGGGTGGGGTGAGGGGATACTATGTGTGTGGCTTTGCGGGGAAAGACTTCAGAGGTTGAAGATGAAAATAGCTGCTACTCAGAGAAAGGCTTAGAATACCAAGGTGCAGGTGGGCCCCAGGTGACCATCAACCAGAGAGGTCAAGAAAGGCACTGATAGCCCAGCGTTGAGTGTCATGTCACAATCCTCCAGGGTGTCTATGTCAAGGAAAAAGCCAAGTCTGGAAGAGAGTCACCTGAGGTGCCCATAGGGGCCTCCCTGATGGAAGGGCAGGAAAAAGCAGCTTGGCCAACCTTCTTCTGCCTGGGACCTCCCTCCAACCCCCAAGTCCCAGGGGAACCCAAGGGCACCTTGAGGTTTCCGTTTCTTCCGCAAACAGGAGGTGACGTAGCGCTCCAGTTCCCGCAGCGTGGATGGCTTTAGGGTCTCGAAGTCGATCTCAATCTCGTCGGGGTTGGAGTTCTTGAGTGAGGGCTCCCTCGACTGGATGATGTGTACCACTCGGCCCAGCTTCTCACCAGGGAGCTTGTTGATGTCCAGGCTGAGCTGGCGCTTCTCCTCATATGACATGGGCTTGCACTTGTCCTCCTCCTCTGACTCGTATGCTGGAGGAGGCTTGTTCTTCATGGGCACCGGCTCCTTCTTGCTATGAAGGGACAATGCAGACACAATGGGTACCCTGGGAAGCTGGGGACCCCTTCCACTCCTTCATTGGAATGGGTCCTTTCTATTCCCCCACCCTGCTGGTCTTCACTGTTAACAGGGGAGCTGCTGTGGTGTCCTTGCCGTCTGCACCATTCCACCTGTCATCCCCCCACTCCCCCACAAACCTGGAGAACGCTAAAGGCTTGTCCCTGGGAGAAGAGCAGAGTTGATCAACCTCTGACTGGGGCAGGCTAGGTCCCCATGGGGGCATTAGGGTGGCACAGACCTTGTGTTACTGTTGCTACTGTTGTTTTTCTTGGTCTTTTTGGGAGGAAGTTCCTTGGCTTTGCTTTTCTTATTCTCCTCCATTTCCTCTTTCTTTTTGTGCTTTTCTTTTTTCTTTTCCTTCTTGTCTTTCTCCTTTTTCTTTGGTTTGTTCTGCTGGGGCTGCGAGAGGGCTGCAAGCTGCTCGTGCACGGCTTTGAGCTATGGAATATACAGGCAAGACACATGCCAATCACTGGGGCTGGTACATAGCTGCCTGACCTGCCACTCCATCAGATTTCTAAAGTGTCCATGCCCACCCAGGCCCTGGACTCCAAAGGTGCCCAGAGCAACCACCTAAACTGATAAGCTGTTAAAGCCCTTTGGCCATTCTGGGCCCAGGAGGAGGGTCCCTAGGAGACTGGGCAGGAGTGCAGACACACTGGGCACTAAAGGCCCGATGGCCAGCTTGCAGAGCAACCATGCAGCCCCTGGCCTGGCCTCCTCCTACACACTGGAAGGATCCAGAAGCCTCCCTTCTGCCCAAAGAGCAGCCATATCTCCCCATCTCCACGTGTGACATACATATGCATACGTTCAATATGCCCGTGATCTAGCACAATGGCACCACTGGGAATTCTGCTCTTGCCAGGACTCAGAGCCATGATCATCTCGTGGAGACCTCTGGGGAGAATGCTTGATCCATGGATTCCGGGGGGACCAGGGATGGAAGTAGTCATGCCTCACCTGCTCCTGAAGCTCGGCCAGCCGCTGGGCTCGCTCCTCCTCAGAGTCATCAGTTGAGCTGTCGCTGTCCGAGGAACTATCGCTGCTGCTGTCACTGGATGAGGGTGGGGCCACAACCTTGGTGGGGGGTGGCACCACAGGGGACGACACAGCCACCATAGGCTCCTCAGGCTCGTCCGGTATCTTGGCAAAGCGCATCTCGAATACATCCTGAGGGGTAGGGAGGTGGGGATGGGGGGAAGCCATGCCCGTCAGGGCTGCTGGGTCCCCACCAGGCTGTGGCCCAGTGTCACTATAGCTTCACTGGCTGCTGGGGTCAACTCAACAGGAAGTGAGCGGGAAGGTCAGAGAGCTGGACCGATGGTAACCCTTTCCCTGCCACTACGGCAACATGCTGGCTAGGGCTCCCTGACAGTCCTCTCTCAAATCTCATGTTGAGGAGAAAGGTGCTCCTGACACAGCCTGGCACACAGTCTAGGTAAGGACCAGGGACACAGGTTGCAGGAAGCAGCCAACCACTGAGGATCCTTGATAAATGGTGGGCTGAGACCAGGACCCATAGAAAGAGTGCTTTAAGGTTCTTGTCAGATTGGCGCTCAGTCAGCACATCCCAAGGGAGCCTTCTGAATACTGGAACTGGGCACCAGAACACAACGGTGACCAGCGCAGGAGGCTCTGTCTACCTCCAGTTCACATTCCTGCAGGGAGGGTGTGGGGCCCACAACTTTAGAGAGTGTACCAGGCAGAGAAAACAGCATGAGCAAAGGCCCAGGGGTGAAAGTGTACCCGGTAGAGCCCTCAGCCAGTGAGGAGGTCAAGCCCTGCTGCAGCAGGCATACGGCTGGATGTGCCTCCCCACTCATCAGATCACCTCTGGGGCACATACCTGAGCAGACCCATGCCACCGGCTAAGGTGTCTCCAGAGCATGCCAGGCTAGTTAAGAAAGTTACAAGATAGTGGATGTGGAGGTGCTGAGGATAAGCTCCAGGAGGGTGTCAGCTTTGTGAGGTGTAAGCACCTGAGCAGAAGCCATGGGACTACTGAACTTGAGATCACACCCCAGGAGACTCTGAAACCTTCCAATTCTAAGATCCAGGAATCTGATGGGACTGTGAGGTCATGGAGCTCAAGGGGACAGCAGCCCTGCCTGAGCACCTGGTGATCCAGCATATGCCGCCTCACTAAATAACTGGCAGGTCCCATCCTACCTTGAGGACTTCATTATCATAAATCCAGTGATGACCCAGGACAGAGGGCAGAAGTGGAAGGAAAAAGTTGGCTTCCCAGCAGGAAATTGGGATCTGCTTTAAGCCTGGCATAAGTCAGTCAACATGGTATTTCATAGGATGGAAGGGGCCTTCCCTAAGTGTGAATTGATCCCCCAGAGAGCAGTGTGGCCCAGGAGGGCCATGGGATTGAGCTCCAAGACTGTTGTTTCAAACTGGAGCACACTTGACAGAGCCAGCTCTAGAAGCCCTCATGTCTCTGAAAACACAGCTCCAGTTTCCCCTCCACCTGGGCAGCAGGGCAGGCAGGCATCCCACACAACTGTGGTGCTGTCACCTCCCCTCCAGACCACTCAGTGTGGCCTCCCCTGAGGCAGCTCCTTTTCCAGGAAGGCCTGGACGATCCTGAAGCAGGTCTAAGGGATATGGAGAAAACAGGAGTAAACAGAAACCACCACCCAGGCTGCCAGGGAAAGGCGGCTTCACACCAGAGCAGAGACCCCGGTGGCATGAGAAAGATCCTTTCCGCCCAGGTCCCTGAGTGATTTACACAAGCATCTGGAAGTTTAGGCCTCCTTCCAAGAAGCAGGGGGCAGGTGAGAGAAGTGTGTCCGACAAGGTGTCAGGGCATCAGGACCCCATGAAAGGGGGAGAGGAGCACGCAGGGCCCAGCACCCAGTGCTACTAGGAAGTAACATTTTACCAAATGGGAGATACTTCATGCCACCTGTCTGTTGGCCCAGACTCCCCTGCCAGCTGCCAGGCAGCATTACTCTTGCCATAAGGATGCCCCTGTTTCTTCCGCACAGGTTTTGGCTGCTGTGGAAATGGGGGGCGGGGAGAGAGACAGCACTTGTCCTGGTGTGTCTCAAGGTAGACCCAGCTTCCCCGCCCAGCATGCCATCATCTGTACCCTACCCCATGAATCTGGACCACAATGTGATTCTTTGCACCAGCAAACCACACTAGTTTCAGAACAAGTACCTCCTCTCGCTAGAATGTTGACCAGATCACTTAACCGGGCTGCATCAGATTCACGGGGGAAGTATACTGCCCCCCACCCTCGCCCCTTTTAATGAAACAGAGATGCTTAGATGCTGGGAAGACGCAGTGCCCAAAGACCTCCAAGTGAACTGACTCAAAGCCAGGCAGCTGGAGACCCTCGGAGGGAAGTGTAGTCCAGCTCCCTCTCAGCCAAGTCTGGATAGTGCTGTGGGGTTTGGCCACATCCAAGGCACAGAGGGCACAAAAAGAGAAATGGAATACAGGCAGTGGGAGACCCACTAGGGATGTAGCCATGAGTGAAAGATACTCAGGCACACACTCACCCCTCAAAAGCTTCCTGTCTCTAGGATCTAATACAGAATACCAACACGTTTCAGTTCAATTTTTTTCTGTACTATAAACACAATTGCATTCTACCTTAATTTGCACTTTTTCTTGAAATAAACATATAGCCCACATGGGTACTAAACGTCCTAAATCACTTATTTCACAACAGAGAAGAGAGGGTAGTACTACCAATAGCTCTGGTCCTAAGTCACCCTCGGGCTCCTGAGGAAACCTCAAGCCCAGAGATTTGTGACAATAGTTGCCAAGCCCAGAATTTAGAGGCTGGAAGAGGAAAACAAAGATCCTTTTCCATATCACACTTCCCAGGTAAATCCCAGTTCTTGGGCACAGCCTAACTAAGAGAAAACAGGTCTCAAGACCTCTTACAAAGGCAAACAAGGGTTGGGGCTTTGTTCCTCTCTCCTCTCCCTTCCTGCTGGGAAATCCAATGATCTAAACCATGTTGATCCAGGAGAGCTTTGAGAAAAAGAAATAAAACAAAGCCCGCAATGCCATACAGACAGCAACTGGCTTTCAGAGAGAGGTCAGAGAGCTTGACACTTCAACTCTGCCATTCAGAGACCCCACCCTCCTCCAGTAACACCACTGGGTATGTTACTTTCAACAATAAGGTGACCCATACCTTGCAGCAGGCAAAGCAGGCTGGGGGTGGAGATGGTCCTGCGCTGGGCTACCCACCTGTGTACTGCCCAGTCCAGCCCAGCCTGGTACTTAGAATCAATGTTTAGAAAAAGGCTGCTGTGTGACAAGCCTATCAGTGGCCTTGCTATGGGTAAAACCCGCTCTGAGCCCTAGCTGGTTTGGCTCAGTGGATAGAGCGTCAGCCTGAGGACTAACGGGTCCCAGGTTCAATTCCAGTCAAGGGCACATGCCCGGGTTGTGGGCTCGAGCCCCACTCAGTGTGGGGCATGCAGGAGGCAGCCGATCGATGATTCTCTCTCATCATTGATGTTTCTATCTCTCTCTCCCTCTCCCTTCCTCTCTAAAATTCAATAAAAATATATATTAGAAAGAAAAAAAAAACACCAGGCCCTTGAAAGCATGCTTATACCACTCCCAGAAGAAAAAAGCAAGAAAAAAAAAGCAAAATAAACAAGAAAACACCAACCTTAAAACAGGCACAAAAGTTAGGAAATCTTTGGTGCTGGCAGAAAACTTGTTTGGGTTTATCTGGTTGCATGACGGCAAATAAAGTGTGTGGGAATCAATCTGGGGAAAAGCTGCCCCAGTCCTCCGAGGAGGGTTAGGTGTTTGTCAAGGTGCAATACTGCGAGCTCCACTGCCATCTGGTGGCCACATGTGAGAATTGCAGGAAAATGATAAAGCCTGAACTACCTCAAGGATGGGAAATGGCAAAAAGAGTGAACCAGCAGAAATGTGAAGAAAGCCAACAGCACTAAGTAAAGAGAGCCCCCTTGCCTCCCCAAAACTAAGACAAAGTAAAACCAGACAGGTCCATACTAATAACAAGGTTTTTTCCCACCCCAAGTGTTCTGGACACATTCTTTGAACCCAAGGCAGCCCCTGACTAGGACAGGGGCCACGTGAAAGAACTGAGGAGACTGTGCCTTGGCTCCAGTAAAACAACATGTGGAGCTAACATATCTGGGAGGCAGGTGGGCAGTAGGGCTCAGGTGACCTTTAACTGGAATAGACCCACAAGATGCAAAAGTAGTTCCAAGTCCTGACTTCTGCCCTGAAAGTATTTCATAAGTGCTTGGAAAAGCCAAGTGTGAGGAAGTCCCACCCAGCCACCAGATGAGGGTTGGACGTGGGATGTGAGATGGACCTGAGCTCCAGCCAGAGCACTTGCACCTTGTGTTGGCATGTGGCCTAGCCCATGACCTGCTGTATCTGTCCCTAAAAGCAGAAGCAACTTGGAGCCTTACATGTGTAATTTTAAAGATTAAAAAATAAATAAATAAATAAGACAGATAACAATACTAAATAGTGACTTTATTCTTCACAATTTAACCTCTGATCTAACCAAAGATTGTTGATCTTTGTGTATATGTTTCCCTTTAAAAAACACCACACACAAAGAACGTGATGCACACATTTATGCTATAATCTGCTCCTCCATTCCCCGCACAGCTACAGTGTGCACAGCCCAGGATCCACTTGAGGGACCATGAATCCCATTAGGGCATGGTGAACACATGGAACATCTGAAAGCAGAGGCTCTGCAGTTGGAAGGCAAGCCATGGCTTCAGGACTATAGTAAAGAAATGCCCAAGGTCACGTAGTTACTTTAGCTCACAACTGTGACAAAGTGTCTACCTGGCAAGAGTGTCGTCGCCCCCGCCCCCTCCCGCTGACCTGAGACAGGTCTGTTTTGGAGAAGAGATTGGGCCATGAACAGCACACACACTCTTACAACCAAGGACAACCAAATGCAAGGGAGATGGGGGCTTTCAGTGGGATACCCCAAATAAAACCCAAAATGCCCAAGGCCCAAACCCCAACCAACACCCCTGCTTTAATTATAATGAAACGATCTTAACATGAAATGTAGGTGTTATCTGGAGTCCACTATTCCAAAGCAGTGTGGCATATGCCAAAAGTGAGTGACAGAGATAAAGTCTGCCAAGGCCCACAGAGGCCTGGCCTGCCCAGGAGCTTCCCAGAGCCTCACCTGGAGCTTTCGGGCCATGGCTACAACTTCGTGGTCAGGAGGGTTGTACTTGTAGCAATTGGAGAACATCAACCGGACATCTGCACCAAATTCCTGAGCATCACGGTACTCACGGGCCTCCAGTTTAGACTGGAAAGACAAGACAGATTGTGTCTGCCCCTGCTGGTGGAAGGTGGCAACAGGGAGGGCTGCTAGCAGGAGCAAGTGGGGATTTAACCCAGATCATGGAAAGAGGTCATCACCCTAGTTCTCAGTGCCAGGTGGAAAAGGAGACACTCAACAGCAATTCTCAGGGCTGGAAATCCACCCATGTGGTCACTTTGCCTGGCTAAGGGAGAAGTGGACATAGAATCCAGAGGCAGAGCTTAAGCCAGAATTGAAAAGGTAGGGCTGGGCCCTGTTATGACCAGGTGTATAAAACTTGTTTTGGTGACACAGGACAAAACATTGGTCAAAAGGAACATAGTTGTCCCCGCTGTGCCCACCCCATGTTTGGGAAGGCTTACTCCACTCTCAGAAGAAAAATGCAAAAAAAGCTTACAATAAAACCAGAAGGCTTCAGAATATGACAGTGATGAAATGCCAGTGTTTGTCATGTGCCTCCTACCGAGAGAAGACAGCAAGGCCCTCCCCATGACACAGCCTGACAAAGTCACCAGCCCCCACACTCTCTGGAGCATCTACTGTATGCAAGGTGCCAGTGGGCACTGGGCCCCAAGGCCCAAGAGGGCTCTTTTCCTAAGACTAGGAAGCAGCACTGCTGTCTGACCAAAACTGCCTCATTGTCTAGGACAGTGATGGCGAACCTATGACATGCGTGTCAGAGGTGACAGGCGAACTCATTTTTTTGGTTGATTTTTCTTTATTAAATGGCATTTAAATATATAAAATAAATATCAAAAATATAAGTCTTTGTTTTACTATGGTTGCAAATATCAAAAAGTTTCTATATGTGACACGGCACCAGAGTTAAGTTAGGGTTTTTCAAAATGCTGACACTCCGAGCTCAAAACGTTTGCCATCACTGGTCTAGGAGTATGTCCCTACAGTTCCCAGAAGGGGGAGCTTCACTCCTTTGGGCTGGTGAGGCGGCTAGAGAGCTGCTGGGGCACAGTTCTGGGGTCTTCCCTGGCCTCATGGACACCTGCTGGCCCACCTTGATTGTGCTCATATCCATGGGATGCTTGATGATGTCACAGTAGTCATGAAGGCCCAGCGCCTCCACGTCCACGGGCTTGTAGAAAGGCCAAGCATAGGCGGCATGCTTCTTGGCGAACATCTCCTTGAGGATGCCGCTACAGCACTTGAGCTGCTCTGAGATCTTGCTGCTCTTGTCCAGTGCTGGGTGCTGCTGTGAATCGGGCACATCCTTCTTTGGGGGCTTCACAGGCCGGCTGCTCTCCCGCCGGGGGCCCAGCTTGGTGGTCTTGGGCTCTGGGGGCAGCAAAGGTGGCTCATGAATGGAATCGATGGTAGTGGGGGTGGTGGTGTCTGCTTTCCTCTTAACACCCTTCTTTGTCTGCAGAAAGCACAGAAGAGATAAGCACAGTCAAGGGTGTGGTTGGCATTTCGAGCCCTCAAAGTCACTCCTGAGACCAGGTCCTTCCTATGGTCCCAACCCTCCCAAGGAATAGGAGAGCGTGTCCCACCACTCTGCTCTGCAGCTGGAACAGGCCCTGCTAGGGGCAGAATGCATGCCATTGAGCACTATATTTGCTCATCAAAGGCCAACAAAACAATCCTGACACAGCTTCCTACTCATTATTGGGGGATTCCCAGATCCGAGCCTGCCTCTAGGCCACCTTGGAAGGCACGTTTCAGAAACTATTTAGCTAGCCTCTGTCAACATGCATGGTCTAAATCAGAAATGGGAGGGGGTCAACAACCTCAGGAGACAGTGCCTCCACTATGGGATCTTTGGGTCAGTAGCTTCTGGACTATGCTGAGTTAATCCTCTCCCCAAACCCCCAACACTCACAAGTGCCCTTGGGAGCCAGGACACGCTGTTCATGAAGCACTGGCAAGGATGGGTAGCTATCTCCTGCAAGGCTCACTGCTACAAATCAAGGAGTAGGGGTGGGAGGGCGCTAGCTGAGGTGGTAGGAGCCCACCAGTGGTCGGGCTGGGCCACACACAAGCACCTAAGGGACACTCACCTTCACAGGCTGTGGGGTGGCCGCAATGATGGGTGGATGGCTCTGCACAGGTTGGGGAGTTGGTGGGGGTGGGGGTTGAGGGGGCACAGGTGGGGGAGTCTGCAGTGGCTGGGGAGGCACCACTGTGACAGGGGTCTGGACAATGAGGTCTGGGGTGATGGTGGAGAAGGAGTGAGGTGTGGCCTGCACAGGTGGAGGGTTTTGCTGAGAGGTCTGTGTCTGCGGAGGAGTCGATGCTTGCGTTGTGTTTGGTACCGTAGAGACGCCAGGTTTTGCCGGCCCTACCAACCATAAAAGGGACAGGTGGTTAGATGCTGTACCCGACACATGCAAGCGGACCTCCTGGGGACATTGCCACATATGGTGAGCACAGATCTTCATAGACGTGGCACACAGTGTCACCACAGCTATTTGCCTAAGAGAAAACATCTCAAACACCCCAGACCTCAGCTAAGTCTGTCCACCTGCTGGGACGGGGTGGGGAGAAAGGGTTTCAGTAGTGGTGGGTGCATTGCATTCACACTTCCTGGGGGTCTTGGGCTGCAAGTATCCTCTTGGGCACAAAGACCCTTCATAAGCAGGGAGGGCTGGACTGAAGGAGGAAACACACATTGAGAGTCAGCACTAGGACTGCGGATGAAGAGCAGAAAAATGTTTCTTGGCAGTTTTGGGCAGTGCTGTCCTCATTCCCAGAAGCACTGCCTCTGAGCAAGTGTTCCTGGTAGGGGGCAGGCATCAGAAGCCATGACCAAGGCTTCTGCAAACTGGCAAGCTCCCACTTCCCTGAGCCACAGGGAGACTGGCCAGCTGCTGCCTCCCTGCAGCCGTGCGGGTGAGCCCAGACATACGAAGCCCTATGTCTGCCCCCACATGCAGGCAGGTTCTGTGGTTAAGCGGTGACGTGAGACCAGCTCTCCTCGGCTACCCCTCAGCATTCCAGGGCAACTAACTCCAGGGCAACTAACTCCCATTGCTCCCATGAAGTCACCACTTCTCCTGAGTGCGGTGGGAAGCCAGGTGAAAGCTGGCTCCTGCGAGAAGCAAATAGCTCACAGCATGGCCACCTTGCAAGCATCACCGTTTTGCAGCAAGGAACCATGAACGGCAAGATGCAGAAGGCGAAAATAGGCACTGAGATAGGCAAGGCAGACTAAAAGTTTGGGCGCCAAAAAACAGGCAGGGCTCCAACACAAGCACATTAAGATAATTCAGATAACAAACCCCCAAGACTCTAAGATTGGGTTTTAGTTAAAAATGCCTTTGGTCAGATTAATTTCTTTTCTCTAAAATGAAAAAGCAGAGACTATCTATGGTGCTGGCAGGGTAAAGAATTCACATAATTTAAAAATATTTTAGAGAAGTTACACTTTCTTCTTAAACTGAAGTCCATCAAAAAAGGCAGGGCTCAATTATTTCTACTTTGGGGGAGGGTTACACAGTCGTGGAACCCGCTGGGGCAGGTCCACCACTGAACCTGGTCCAACTGTATCCAACCAGCAGCCATCTTCCTACCACTGCTAGTCTTCTACTGGAGTGGAGAGGGGCAAACAATGGGGGAGAAATGAAGCCATTTCCTCGTTATCTCAGTGTGGGGGCCCCTACCTGCTTCTTTCCTCCCACGTCCTCTTCCTTTTGCTGGAACTATCATGATCTCTGTTTCTTCTGTGGGCAGTTCGTTGATTTTTTGCAAGAAGAGCTTCTCCAGAGCTTCTGCCATTAAGACTATGTCATCTCCAGGCTGGAAGGGACATGCAGGGTGAGGGTCAGAATCCCCCTCCCCCGCCCCAACTTCTAAGCAGAGCAAGAATTCTCCACATTGTGCCACCCCCTCTGCCCAAAATGTGAAGCATCATATTCAGGTTCCCCAAGATGAACCCCAAAGGCCCACAACACAGCTAATACCACTAGGCATCACAGTCTCATGTACCTGCACGTCTGCTGAGCCAGCACCTCCCTCTTTAGCCTTTTAAGCACTGGCCCATCTGAGAAACCATCCTTATGCCTTAAACATCTAACAATCTATCAATCAGACACAGGGGCCCTTCTTTTAATACAATTCAACTTCACTAGATATACTTGATTTACACATGATTTCCTGCTACAGATACGTTAGCAGGGCTCCAACCATGTTCCCCAGTGTATTCCAAGGCAGCTCACTGGGGCTCCGGGCAATGACCATCTCATATTGCCTTACAGATCCCCAATCTCCCCTAGTCTGTAATATGCTGTTCCCACTCAGCTCTAAACTGAGAACCTCATCTGTGCACATTTTGCTTAAATCTAATAGTGAGAGCTGAGACTTTTAAAAAATGTGGTAAACTTCAAGAAACTCACCTACCCATCTCTTCTGGGCAATTTTACCCACTACACCAGCAGAGGTCAAAAGGTGATTTCTGTATAGTGTCTCCCTCCAGGGTCGTTCTATTTGAAAGGGTTGGTTTTAATCACATGTGTGGTCTGAACTGTAAATAATAAATGATCTGGCTTCATGGCACAGCCGAGTCTAAAGGTTTGGCTACTGGGTTAAGAAGTGATCTTCAGGTCTACACATAAGACTGGGGGATACTTGCTTCTATTGCTACAAGTTGACAATAGTCATGTTCACAGTTCTAAATGAGGCAGGCCCCATTGCCCCCTCTCTCACATCAAGGTTTGTTTGAGCATACATTTTGTAGACTTCTTGACAATTTACATCATCCAAATGGACTTTTTAACAAGTCCTCACTGTTCTTCTCACACCTTCTCTACTACACATACTCAAGAACCTAAGTCCCAAGGGCATAAGCAGCACATGCTTCAAGCTAACAAGGACGGCTCAGAAAACACAGAGCACCCCTCTCCCCGCAAAAGAAACACAGTCACAGGCAAGACCATGGGTTCCATTACCCCTGCTTCTAAGTGTCCTCTGTCAGACTCCAATCTACTCCAACACCCCTGCCTATGGGCTTCAGACATATCCGCCTCTTCCTCCCCACAGGGCAGCTGGACACTGGCCCCAACATCTCACCTTGTTGTAGATGTAACAATTTGTAAACATAGTGTTGAAGTCCTGGATACATTCCTGAGCATTCCAGTAATAGTTGTTTTCCAAGCGCTTCTTTATTGTTCCCATATCCATAGGTGTTTTAATGATCTTATAGTAATCCTGGAGAGCAGAGAGAGCAAAAGGCCAGTGTCACCTCTGCAGTCACACAGCACTCATAGCTGGGCCTGCAGATCTCACAGGTCACTCCACAGATGCACAGCCCGAAGCTCTTCCATGGTGTCAGTGAACAATTTCAAGGAGACCCCAAGATAAAGTAAACCAGCGAAGGATTCCCAAATGCTAGGTGGTAATTTGGAGGAAAAACGTTCAAGGTTGCCACTGCCCTGTCTGGGAACAGGATGTCTTTACTGAGATCTATTTTTTTTTTTTTTGTATGTTAAAGTGACCTTCCATTTTAAATAAATAATGGGGAGAACATACAGCCTTTTAAAAAGCAGTTCTTATCTAGTAAAACCACTTGTGGCAGGTTCTACTTTCTCTCCACAATGTGAAATTTTATGCGTCCATAAAATGCAAACTCCAATGGAACCAGCAGTGGAGCTCACCCCTAACAATTGGATCCCTTACTTCTTGTCACACTAAACAATCATGGAGCAGACCTCCACCTTCAGTCAAATTCACTGGCCTTTCACTTCTTTTACTTGTACACAGTCTACCACTAAGGACCCATTAGTATCTGGTACAAGTAAGCACTAAACAGGTTACCTGCCAAATGAGGAATCTGCAACAGCCTTCACAGACCCCCCTCAAACCCTTGGATCTTATTCTACAAGTGCCAAACAGAAGGAGCCAGATGGCAGGCATAGATGTCCACAAGCCCTTTGGATCAAACACTACTATCGCCACAGCTTTCTTCTAAGTCTAGAATACTAAAACCAAATGTTTATTTTTAAAAACCACCATAGGGGAATTTGGGGACAGAACAGGCAGCACCTAGGTTTCCAGGTGGAAGGACCAGAGAGCCAGGCAGGGGACCTGCATGCAGCCACCTAGCCCCACCAAGAACCCCATAATTAGGCTTGAATGGGGTATCAAAACCAAGTCCAAGTGGAAGCCTATGGCAGGGGAAGGCCTATCTGTTAGCATGTGCCAACGTCGCACGTGGGAACAGTGGTGGGCAGTACTGAAAAGGCAAGCTGGGGGTGTGAGGTTTTGAGTTGCTTTGACACCCAGAAGAAAAGGAACAAAAATCACCAGCTCACACAGATCCCAGCTCTAGGCATCTTGGCCAAGAGGCCTCAAAGGGGAGACTGAACCAGACTTTCTACATTATACTGTGCTCTGATCACCTCTCCCAAGAGAATCAAGTCCAGATATATCTGTCCCAATGGAAATCCAGATTTTATTTATGGTCAGAGGTCTCTTAGAGGGTGTCAGGTGCTTGAAGTGACCAGTGTGTCAAGTGACTCAAGGGTAAACAGGACAGTGGTTGAGGATAGAGGACAAGGGAGGAGGTGGGATGAAGACAAAAGGGGGGTGGTAGGGAGAAGGGACTGACAAGGAGGCAGTGGGTTTAGTGGCATGACAATCCAACCATACATGTGTACTGAATTTGAAAGAGGCAGGCATTCTAGTGAAACGTCCAACAAGAACCAGAGACCAAAATGGAGGTGAAGATCTGGAAGGCATCAGAAAACAGGAAAAAAAAGGAAAGGAAACCTTTTTCGGGTGAGCCTATTAACATCTCCTAAAGTGGGAGGTGGAGGGGTCGGGGGTTGAGTCCCCTAAAAAACTGGGCTTTAGCATGACATTGCTCCCAGCCTACCAGCACCCACCACCACCACCACCACCCTCCCCCCCTGGGTCTACTTCTCACTATTCCTACCTCCCTAAAGATACTAGATCAGTGCCACTGTCCATCCGCCTCTCCTTCCTATATCAGAACTGCTGAGGGTGATGTCAACAGTCACAGAGAGAAGTAGAATCCTTGATCTAATAGACAACCCGCCCCTGTGGCTGTCCCATTGGCCGGGATGCTGCTGCCTAAAAATCCAGGGTCCCCCAGTGCCCTTTTCTCCTGTCTGCCTCACCCTCTCAGCCCTCTGCATCACCCTATACAAACCAACCCCTTCTTTGTTCTGACCCTGCCGCGTTTCCCTTCAAAGCCAAATTTCTTTGAATGATGGCTTCGTGTCCTCACCTTCTCATTCACACCGTCGAGAATCTGGTTTCTACTTCTGCGTCACATCTTCCTAAGGTCACCAATGCCTTCCTAAAGGCCAACAGGAGGGTCAGGTCGGAATCCTCATTTCTGGCCCCCATGTAGCCTCCAATGTGGAGACATGGGGGACTGCTCTGTTGGTAGGTCTCCTGGCTCCCCTCTGCAAGCTCCCACCTCCTCCCTGGTTTCCATCCCAGGGCTTCTTCTCACCCATTTTTTGTATTTGCTCTAGGAAGATCACCCTCATCTGTGGACCCTGCACAACCAGCTCAACCAGAGACCAGAGTAGCAAGCTCTCCCAAGAGCTTCCCTCTAGTGATAGGTCAGCTGCCTCTAGACCTTGTTATAGTCAATGACAAGTGTGGCCTCTGAAGTCCAAATTTGGTGAGGACCCTCTTTTGCCTCCACCCTCTTTCCTGAGCCGGTTCATGACTCAGGCCTGCAGTGCCCTCTCCTGACTCTCTCTTCTCAAGTGCACATGACATGTATTCAGCAAACAGATAGCACTGGACAGTTGTCACAGATATAGTGGCCTTTAAGCCAGGAGAATCATGCCAGTGTGTTCATCCTACTTGAAACTGGATGCCTGGCTAAGGCGGAGGGTCCTACAGCTATATAGCTAGCTCTAGCACTCATAAACCGCTGCCTGGGTTATCTAATTCCAATTCCTGGTCCAGGGGTTGGAGGTGTAGGGATGGGACTTGGCAAACAGCAGAGGGCAACTTAAAGACATTCAGTCCTTGATGCTTTGAAGAAAAAAACAATTAAAAGCATTTGAAGAAAATATTAAAGCATTTATTCCATTTGTTCCTTGAGGTTCAGTTAGGGTTACAAGTCAAGTTTCCAGAATCATTTGCTAGGAATGTGGACAAACAGAAACCTCTCTAAAGAGAGAAGAGGCAGAGAGTACAAAAAAACAAAACAAAAAAAACACCAAGAGCTAGTGCAGTATAGCCACGAAGGGGCGGGTAGGCATGAGGGCATGCAGAAAGGCAGCTGGGCCAAAGATGCACCCATATCCGGCCTTTAGCCAGGCCACTTCCATGAACTTGCTCCCTGGGAAATAATCAACTACCTTTCCTGCCCTATGCTCTGAGTGATAGTGATGGCGCCAGTACCAGAAGAGGATTGCTCCTGCAGCAAGCCAGCCTTCTCTTGCATGGTTTGACCAACCGCATCTACTTCTGGGAAGGTTAGGAGCACCTGAGAAGAGAGGGGACAGAAGTGCTCCCACTTCAGCTACCCACGGAATCAAAGGAAAACTGCAAGTATTCCTTTACCTTTGTTTCAATTGCTCTCTACACAATACATCCTGGGATCCTAATCTGCTTAAGCCAATAAGCACGTTCTCTATTCTTCCTCATCGCCACTCATCAGGATTGCTGAAACCACTCACTCTAGGGCCAGAGGGTGCTGGAGTTCAGAGCTGGGTCTCATGCTTTCACAACTCAAGCATATCTCTACCCTGCCCTAAAGTCTATCCTCCCCAGGAGCAGTGTAAAAAGAGCCCTGGAAGATGCTACTCTGGGTTCCTGCCCAAGCTACTCACAGGGAGGTTTAGCTTGACGGCGTCCACAGGCTGCTGGAAAGGCCACGCAAATTGGTGTTTCCATAGTGTCTTGAGCACCACTTTGAGCAGATATTGCAGTTGGTTGGTCTGCCTCTTGGGCTTGTTGGGGTTGGAGGTCTCCGGGGGCGGGGGGTTGGTGCTGGCTGCGTTGGCTTGCTGGGGTTGGGCTTGGGCCTGCGTTGTAGACATTTGGGTAGTTTCTAGTCCATCCCCCATTACGGGCAGATTTCTTAATCTCGTCCCAGGGCCGCTCTCCGAAGACATGCTACTGATCCCATCACATTCTTCACCGGGCACTCTAAAAGGGAAAAGAAAAGCCACCATCAGTGGAGAGGCGCCACCATGATGACATGTGTCTCCACACCACCACCACGACCAAGGACTAAGCTCCTCTCCCAGAGACTGGTTGGATGAGATAGGTCAAGGAGCCACTCCATGCACTGACTAAAAGGGCTCCAGGGCCTGCTCTTCTCAAAGACTTGTCACCCAAAAGGAAAGAGAATAGGTAACAACGGAGAGAAACAGGGCATGGAGGTAAGCCAAACAGGAGGTGGCAGGGGCTGTGGCTCTATGGAGCTCATGCAGGAGGGACAATGAGCAACAAATCAGGTTTTTAGGAAAAACAAAAACAAAAAACAGACAAACCAGGTTTTATAACATCTGAGAGCTTTTAGGGGACACTGCCCATGTATGAGAAAGGATGATTTGCAAGCCCCAAATATGTCATTTACATTAAAATTCTGGTCTGCCCTTCTTGGATGGCCACTGTCCACTACTGAGTGCTCCAGGCAAAGCCTCATGCTTAACTACTAAGAACATCTTCTGGCAACTTAAATAATATGTGGTTGCTAATTAAAGAAATCCCACAAGGAACTGCTGATAACACAATAATGAATCCATACTTGACCTACCATTTTATTAACTTGCTTTTAAAAGCTTATTTATCCCCACCCCCACCCAGCGCCTGTCTGAGCCCCTTGTCCTGTGGATTCCTTTAACTTGAACTACCCCTGCTTCAGGCCACACCAAATTCTGCCAAAACCATCCTTACAAGGGTGATTTGTGTACCTGTTCAAGTTATTCTAAAGGGACAACTGCAGGTCAGGGGTACATGTTTTTGTTTTAAAAACTGATTTCACAGAGGAAGGGAAAGGGAGAGAGATAGAAATATCCATGATGAGAGAGAACCACTGATAGGCTGCCTCCTGCATACTCCCCACTGGGGATCGAGCCTGCAACCCGGGCATGTGCCCTTGATGGGAATCAAACCTGGGACCCTTCAGTCCACAGGCCGATGCTCTATGCCAGTGATGGCGAACCTATGAACTCATTTTTTTGGTTGACTTTTCTTTGTTAAATGGCATTTAAATATATAAAATAAATATCAAAAATATAAGTCTTTGTTTTACTATGGTTGCAAATATCAAAAAATTTCTATATGTGACACGGCACCAGAGTTAAGTTAGGGTTTTTCAAAATGTTGACACGCTGAGCTCAAAAGGTTCGCCATCGCTGCTCTATGCACTGAGCCAAACGGCTAGGGCAGGGATACACTCTTAAAAAAAAAAAAGTTTTTTTTATTGACTTCAGAAAGGAAGGGAGAGGGGGAGAGGAGGGGTAAGAGAGAGAGAAAGGAGAGAGACAGAGAGAGACAGACAGACAGACATCAACGATGAGAAAGAATCATTGATCGGCTGCCTTCTGCACGCCCCCTACTGGGGATCGAGCCCTCAACCCAGGCATGTGCCCTTGTCCGGAATAGAATCCAGGACTCTAATCCACAGGCCAACATTCTATCCACTGAGCCAAACCAGCTAGGGCTAGTATTACACGCTTTTATTGTCAAACCGCTCTCCAGACACACAAACCCACCCTTATTCACAGTGCTGAGAGTTCCCAGATTCTATTAATGAGAAGAAACATTGCTCAAACATGTGCTGACCATTTGCATTCTTTTTGTACACTGTTTTTCTGACACTTTCCTACTAGCAAGACAAAGGAATGATCAGCTTTAAACCCAGTGAGCAGAGCAAGACAGTCTTTGTTGGCTAGCAGCTGCCTGCATCACAGGAGCATCTCCATTAATAAACCCAAGAGTCAGTAGGGATAAAAGAACTCTGGCTGAGGAAGTCAGGCAAGGGCTTATGAAAGAGGACCTATTTTAGGACCACAGGACTCTGGTAGGCAGGAGACAAAACAAGACAGGGAAAACTGGCTGGCTCTGTCACAGCTTTCTTTCTGGAACACACTTAGCACATGCCAGGCACTCTGTTGATGAATTACTTTATGATCCAGTCCACATGTAACTTTAACCAAAGTTCTCACAAAGGTTTTTGCAAATGCAGTTCTGGTAAATGATCAAATTTTAAAAGCACCAGGGGAGAGCTTGCTATGTAAAAGCAACTCGGTGGGGCTATGGAAAGCTGGACTTCCTGAGGCAGGCAGGCGGATCCTAGCCACATGCCCCCAACACTGGGGTCCTGGTTTCAGGATGAGTCTGAGGACTAGCAAAAGTGACATGGCCAGAGACAGCTTTTCTTCCGTAGTGCTCTCATCAACCATGCTGCTTGCTCCAAGAAGTCTAGCGGTGGTCTTGCACCCTATGCTGAACTTAAGTATTTAATGAGATCTAACCACGTCTAAGACATCAGGCAAAAATTTACAGTATGTGCCCTCCCAGAGTACTCCTAAGCCTCAAGAAGGGAGGGATGGCTCCTAAGGTAATCTCTAAGAAGGGTGGGCTCTATTGGAGAACAGAGCCCAGAGCTCAGGAAGAACACTTAGAGGACAAGGGATTAGGGAGGCCTTTGTGGGTGCTAAGCTGTTTGTTGGTACCTCTTTGCACACATGGTGCTCGAGATAGGGAAGGGGCACCCAGTGCTGGCATGAGAATGTGATGGAGACTGGAGGTGAAGATCAGCTGGGCAGCAGCTTGTGGGGAGCATCCCCAAACTAAGAAAGCAGCGTGCCAGAAGTGCAGGATCATGAAGGGAATTCCCCTTAAATTATTTCATCTGACAGTGGGCCACAGGAACACTATTTGGACTACAATAGTTTCCAAAGGAAGATGTAACTGGGTAGCCCTGATTCAGGCTCTGGGAATACAAGGTAAGTACCCACTGGGGTGCTTGTGGTACAAGTGTGGCTAGAACTAATGGCCATGTGACATCCAGGAAAAATAGTGCCTATAGCATAAATCAATGCAGGGCAATGGGGACAGAGGTGACACTGATGGGAAGGAGACACATGAAGGCACCTGACTGGGAGCTTGGCAAGGAGAGATGCGCCCCAGAGCCAAGACTTGAATAAAATGCACCCCAATGAAAGCAGCAAGGAGGCCAGTGGGGTTAAAAATACCCACAGGTAGATCCAGGGAGAAGCACCCAAAGGCTGGGAGTAAGGGGTGGAACTGTCAGAAAAAGCTTGCTCAGAGAATAGACAACAAATACTGGTGACCCAAGCAAGAGGCAGCAGGGTGTGGTAAGTAACCTCAGAAAGGGACAGAGCGAGAGGCAGCACTCTGGAAGCTACATTCGGAAGGGCATGGAACCTTGCAGACAAAAGGCGTGCCTTCATCCTGAGGGGAGCGGCAAGGAAAAGAGGATTTCTCCCAAGTTCTCAGGTTTAGTTGATCAAGAGTAGGACCTCAACCTCAAAGAAGCAGGGTCTACAGCCATCTGCAGAGCAACACGCCAGGGTTTGGGTGAGGCCGGGGGAGGGTTTACAGACTATTATCTGGACAGAACTTAACAATGTTGCTTTGTTCTCATGGTATTTAATTTTACTGCTATCCATGTGTGGCTTCTGATTTGGTTTTCTGTCAGAAAAAGGTGCTATAAATAAAACAGTAAACTAATTACATACACACACACACAGAGTTAAGGATACTAGTATCAACACAAAATGGGTGAGGCAGGAGTGATGAGGGCAACCTGGCCTCCAGGAGAGCTGTGGGGGAAATGGAGGGCTGGCCATGTGCGCAGAAGGCCTCTGGCTTGTGGTCTCAGTTTGTGACTCTCTCCAGAGAGGAGCCAGCCAAGACCGACTGCATGACTGCAAGCTGCAAGTGGAGAAGCCAATGGGCCAGGAGAGTTTGCAAGAAACTTTTGGAAGAGAGAGGGATGACAGAAAAGCAATCACAGAACATCAGACTTCCACAATTAGGTAAGTGGATGGGGTAATCATTTACTGGATAACATCAGGGCCAGTGAGACAGGAGGAGGAGAGGGGGTGAATGACTAGGCAACTTGCCAGCTGGCCAGGAGCCTTTGGTCCACTGCTTGCAAATGAGGCAGAGAGAGGTACAGGGCATGCCTACAGGGAGTCTTATATTGACAGAGGGGCAGCACCATGGAGAGGAAAGTATGTCAGTGGGGTTAAAAATGTCTATAGTTGGCCACATAACAGACCAATGTGCCTAAAGGGACAAAAGGGGACAAGTGGCCCCATCATGAAGGGAGGCCTGGGTGTGCTAGAGAAGTGAACATGGGAGGGAGAGGGCATTAAATAAACATAAAGAATGATGTGCACTTTGGTTTCCACTATTAGATTACCCCTAGAAAGAAGCTTAGGAATTACAAACACGTACCAGGTAAATCCCTGCAGACAAGGGGCAGTGGGCAGCCCCACCCTAGAGGAGTCATTCTGGCCTCCAGGCAGTGGAGCCCTGTCAGCCACAAGGACACCAGATCCCTACCAAGCAAGTCCCATCAGGAGGAAGCAGCCCCATACATTTTCCACTGAGTAACCATATTCTAGAAATCTCTAAGCAACGCCCTAAGGCAGTGGTTGGCAAACTGCAGCTCGCGAGCCACATGCGGCTCTTTGGCCCCTTGAGTGTGGCTCTTCCTAAGCCTTAGGAGTACCCTAATTAAGTTAATAACCATGTGCCTACCTATATAGTTTAAGTTTAAAAAATTTGGCTCTCAAAAGAAATTTCAATCGTTGTACTGTTGATATTTGGCTCTGTTGACTGAGTTTGCCGACCACTGGTCTAGGCTCTCTGCTTCTCCTGTTCGTCAGACAGCCTCTCCTCCTGCGAAGTGCCAGCAGCCACAACCCTGAGACACAATGGTGAAGGTCGGAGTGAACAGATTTGGCCGTATTGGGCGCCTGGTCACCAGGGCTGCTTTTAACTCTGGCAAAGTGGATATTGTCGCCATCAATGACCCCTTCATTGATCTCAACTACACGGTCTACATGTTCCAGTATGATTCTACCAATGGCAAGTTCAAAGGCACAGTCAAGGCTGAGAATAGGAAGCTTGTAATCAATGGAAAGTCCATCTCCATCTTCCAG